AGTCCAACCCATTTCTGGCCCCAAGCACCCTGACCTGTAATAATCACAGGAAGCAAGTGCCAAACCGAGTAAAGTGAGTCTGAGTTTCTAGCTTCTGTACCTGAAGAGCTTCTGATTTATTACTTTAAAAAGCTTTCAAATCCACTGTCTTCCTACACTCTTTTCTTCCACTTAAGATTTAAGTTAGAACATGTCATGGGACAGGCATCTTGCCAAACAATTATAGCAGTCAAATATTCAAAAGGGCTCTTCAACAAAATTTATGATTATGCTCAACATCTCAAAGCTATAGTCATAAGTGACTCAACTTTTTATGTAACCTCAAGGTTTTAAAAGATGGTATTCAATTTTCTGGAAAAAGCATCCCTGCATTTGCATTATGAGTTAACTGGTTTTTTAGAGAGATTAATTTACTTTCTTTTTACTAAATTGCTCATTTAGCTGTTTTGAAAAAAAAAAAAAAGACATCAGATACAAGGGCTTCTTGCATAATTGGCCATCTGTTTCAATGTAACAATCCTTTTTTTCTTTTTTTTCTTTTCTTTCTTTTCTTTTTGAGACAAGGTCTCATTATGTTGCCCATTCTGGCCTCAAATTCACAGCAATCCTCCTGCCTCAGCCCTCCAAGTGCTGAGATCACAGGTGTGCCACCAGACCTTGTGCCACAATATCTGGTTTGTCTTTTTGTTGTTGTTGTTGTTGTGTTCTGTTGTGTTGTTTGTTTGTTTGTTGCGGTACAGGGGATTGAACTCAGGACCCTATGCTGGCCAGGCAAGCACTTATTCTACTGAGTCAGCTCCCCGGCCCTTTTTTTTTTTTTAAAACAGGGTCTCATCATGTAATTTAGGCTGGGCTTATACTCACTCCAGTAGCCCAGGCTGGCCTCAAACTCACAGTTCCTCCTGCCTCAATCTCCCCAACTTCAGGGATTATAGGCATGTGCTTCTTACCTGGCTATCAAATCTTAAATGATTTGAAGCTTCAACTTCATCCCTCAGGGACCATGAAATAGCTCAAATCCGAACTGTCAGTTTTACAACAGCATCTTTTGGAGGCAATACATACTTTTCCTGGTTTACTAGAAAAACCACTGTTTTCTTTAAAAAAAAAAAAAAAAAAAGTTTCCAAAGCTTTGTGTGGTGGTGCAGACCTATAATCCCAGCACCCAGGAAGCTGAGTCGGGAGGATCATTGCAAATTCGAGGCCAGCTGGGCTACACAGTGAGTTCAAAGCCAGACTGCGCTACACCAAGAAACCCTGCCTCAAAACAAAAATAAATCTCAGCTCTGCAAACCTACGATGACCCAGTGATTCTGGGCAGGCTGCTTGATTTCTCAAGGTCTCAATTAGCCCAACTGTAAGAGGAAAAGAGTCCTGGTGGGGATGAAGCGACCACGCTGACAACCACATGCCTGGAAGGGAGGTAGGCACACTATGGGCCTGCAGAAGTGCACCTGAATCTGGTCCATCTGACTGCAAGCCCTCAGCTGTTTCCTGGTGAAGAGCTTGGCCCCCAGAGGAAGCTATTTATATCCCTACGGCCAGCTCTTGGAAAGAAGGCATGACTTCCGAGTTGGCTCTAGAGTCAGCCATCCATTCAGTCCCCATGGGAGAAATCTGTACTCCCCTAAGTACTGGCATCCCAGAAACTGCGTGCTGGCTGGGAGAATAGGGGAGGGAATGGCATCTCCCTGGTGTGAACTGGATTTGAACATCTAACTTTCCTTTCGAAGTCAACCACCGAGACATTGAAGAACTACTATGTAACACTCACCCATGCTTTATCCTGCAGATGCCTGTTAATTCCTTTGAAACCAGACAGTAAGCTTGCACTGATGTTGGTTATATGCATGACTGTGCTAGGAACATATATCAGGGCTATAAAAACTATTTATAACCTTAATATTGTGCGTCAAAACACCGATTTCATTATCTTGGAATTTTATCTTGCAAGTCAGCGTGTGGAAACTGAAAACATTGAATGTGGCTGCCAAGACATTAGTAACAGACTGGAAAAATTGGAAGCAACACAGCTTCGTAGAACTGGCAAAGTGGGGAGTGGGCACAGGGTTTGAATCCAGAGCCAGGCCATTTACTATGCAATTTTGGCTTGGGAAGTTTGTTTCCTATGTGTAATTTTGGAAGAACTCTGAATTCCAATGCCTCATCAACCTGTCTGTGAAGCAAAGATATTAATAATAACAATATTTTCTTCTTGGGAAAGGAGGGCTACAAGGAAAGCCAACTTTTTGGCCCTAGCCTTCTAAGGTCAATTAAGACTCAGGACATATGAGAACTTGTACTGTAACGTCATGTACCTCGGTAGTGTCCCAAATTTTCTGATCAAGAAGATTATGGGGCCAAAGAGGAAAGTGATCGATGACATAGAGTGGGCCTAAGGAGAGTCACATGGGGAGAAGACACTCTCTCAGGCTTTCACAGAGAGCACATTGGCCAAGCAATGGTCGTGACTCATCCACATGGCTGCACTGATAAAGGTTCTACAATATGAGGTACAGGATCTCAGGACAAATCCTGAGGGCATTTCACTGACCTTCTCAGACCAAAAAGCTACAACTCTTGTTGCACAGGTCCTGCTTTACCTTGGTCTTAACCATCCAGTAGAAAAGTATGAAGACGAAATATAAGAAATAAAGCCATGCTGTTAAGTTAAGCTGTGGGGGACTCAGGTCAATAATTTCTGACATTGCCAGTTAAACAGAAGACCCAATGCTATTATGGGCTACTGGACTCTTTTAGAATATTTTGCTGAGTTTACACAGCTATAATATTCAGTAACGGAACTTAGGAAAAATGGGGTACACCGATGAATGTCCATTCTGTATCTGTGTATTCAAAGTGGTTGGGGTAGATATATAGTTGCATTGTCTTAATGACTGGAATGATTTGTTCTAATGGTGTTTGTAAATAGGATCACAAGTCCGCATCTTGTACAGCAATTAACCACTAAGAAGAATATATGCAGTGTATTATTTGTTGAAACTGTACTTCCGATTTGATTTGAAACTGTCTCATTGCTATATGTTTATCAATAAAACTGTAGGAAAAAAAATAAAAAAAAAAGAGAAAAAAAAAAAAACAATATTTTCTTCTTGGGGATTAAATGGACTTCATAAAATCATGTCTCAGAATAATGTCATCATTTGTAATTAGGAAACCTGTTAATGCAAAGAAACTAAAACCCCAGGGTCTGGTCCCAGGACAGACAGTGAAGGTTGTCGGCCAAGCATGCTAACAGCTCAGCAGCTTAGAAACCAGAAGGTCCAAGTCTAAAGGTCAGCCCTGCTTTTTTCTTGCAGGATTCATGCAGAGATGGCCAAGGCCCAACCTCTCTGCACCTCAGCCCCTCATTCAACTGTTAGGCCTTAATAATATTAACTACAACTTATTAAGCAGGAAGGTATACCCAGCAATGTGCTAGCATTCTGCACCAGCTCGTCTTCCTGGGGGATAGCCTTGCTGGGGGATGGCGGCTGAAGCAAGGTCCTTAAACTTGTTCCCAGCCACGCAACTACTATATGAATGGTAGAACTCGGATCCCCATTGGATCCACTTGGACTTGCATTCAGGTTTATCTGCATTCAGGTTGGTTTATGCATCATCTACCTCACCTTAAAGAAGATTAAATGTACTTATTCCTTCAAAAATGCTTTCCTAGTTGAAAAAAATAATCACTTTTCAGCCTTTTGGCTAAAATCAAGTAGAATAGAAAAAGAACGCTTTGCATTTTATGCCCGCTCCAAATTAATGACTGAGTTGGTGGAAAATGGCTAGGTTTTTTTCATACTATTTTTCTGTTGTCAATTTTAAAAAGTAATCTACTTCTTAAAATCTGTAGTTTAATACTTGGTGAATTTGTGCCAGTTTAACCCTTTCACTGTCATTCCCATTTTGTTACATTTCTATTATGATGACTTGATGCTCAAATACTTATAAAGTATTCGTAGCAGCTTAAACACTAAAAATATTTAAAATTTTAAAAAAGAAAAAAGTGTTTTTTTTCAATTGAAAAGTCTGATACAAACTAAGTATTGTAAGTATCATCTTATGTCAATAAATAAGGCACAAAATGAGTCTGCAATTTGCTCTCCGGTGCCTGGAATCCCTGAAAGAACAAACTGTTATACTTCAAGCTCTTTCATCTCTTCTTGGAATTTTGCCTTGACCTCAATTTCACGTCCACAAACCTGATAAACAACTAATGCACAAAATGAGAAAAGCAGAAATCCAGATGTCACTCTACGCCACTCAAAGACCACTCTGCGCTCCAGGGAATCCAGAATACAAAACCCTGGGTTTTTCCTTGAAATGGGGTCCAAACGGTTATATGAGCGGACTTCTCTCGCCTGCATTTGCAGTCAGATCTCCTGGGTGACCATAAAGCGGTCCCGTAAAACGCCTCATAAGCCAGCGCTGGGTGATCACACCCATGACAAACTCGAACTCGGGGCACGCAATCTGATCTCTCTCTCTCTCTCTCTCTCTCTCTCTCTCTCTCTCTCTCTCTCTCTCTCTCTCTTTCTCGAGCTGCGCTCTCGCACGGAAACTGCTGAGGAGTCCCACGTAGCTAACTCCCATTCTCTTCTTTAAATTATCACCCCTTGGATTCACAGCTCAATTTTCTAAACGCCTAGGAAACACTCCGCAAAGGCTGCCGGCGTCGGGTGGAAACAAGGGCACAGTGGCCCCGCTCAGAGCCCCCAGGGCGCCTCCACTTCCCGGGCCAGTTAGGACGCGGGAGGCTGAGGTCCAGGCGGGCGGGGACCCCAGCTCGGAAGCGCTCGCACGTCCGCACCTGGGGTCCGCAGCGAGCTCGCCAACGTCGCCGGCCCCGCCGCCCGGCACTGTGACTTTCTTGCCCGGGTGAGCTGTGCGCCTCGCATCGCCCGCGGGACCCAGCCCATCGGACCCCACCCTGCACGCCTGGATCGGGGGTTCGGCGCCCCAGCCGGCCGACCCGGGGCGCCCCGCAGCCTCACCTCGGAGGGCGGGAGGTCGAAGGCGGCCGCGATCTGCGCGTACAGCTCGGCCACGCTGGCGAAGCCCTGCAAGCGGCCCGTGGGGCTCCCGTGCGCCAGCTGCGCGTGGAAGACGGGTGCGGACGCGGGGGGAACAGGGGGCGCGGGCGCGGGGGTCTGCTCGGCCCCCACCAGCCGGGCCCCCTCCCTGCCCTTGGCCTTCTTCCTTCCGAGCCGCCCCAGGGGCATCCTGCCTGGCCGAGGGCGTGGGCCGCCTGCGCCCGGCCACCTGGGCCGCCGTGGACTTTGCGCCCGAACGCGCAGGTACCGCGCCGCGGCCAATGGCAGGACCGCCGCCTCCTCCTCCCCCCCCCGCGGGGAGCGGCCACCTACACCCGGCCCCTCCCCTGCCCCTTGCCTTTTCCTTCCCTCCTTCCTCTACCCCTCCTTTTCCCCTCTCCTCCCCTCTCCCTTTCCCTTCTCCTCTCTCCTCCTTCTTCCCTCCCCTCTCCTCCCCTCCTCTTTCCTCCACCTTTCCCCTTACCCTGCCCCTCCCGGGAAGCGGCCATCTGCACCCGGGCCCCTCCCCATGCGAGTGGGAGGACCCTTGAACGGGACCACCTCCCTTTCCTGGGGATGAAAGGTCACCTGGTCCCCAAACCCCTCTGGCAGTAGGGGACACATGGACCTGGGCAGCCATCCTCCTGCCTCCCTCAGGATAAATCTGGACATCCCTACTTCTCTCCCAGCTCCTGCCCACGCTCCTCGAACTAAGGGCTGGATTTCTGTGAAGGCCTGGGTGGACGCTTCAGTCTTCAGCCCTGCATGGTCCTCCTACCCTGTACCTTCCAGAAACCCATGGAGGGGCACACAAGCGATTGGGCCACATGTCTTTTATGTTCCAAGGGCCGGACCTGTGGAGGTAGGGATTATTTTTCCAGATTGAAAAAAAAAAAAAAAAATCACTGATTCGTGTCTTTAGTACATAGTGTTTACCTGCTTTGTGGGAAGACATGGACAAAACACGTCTTAATTCTTTTTATGTCCCCCTCCCATCTCCCTCGCCTTCTCCATCTCTTGGTCTCCTTCCCATTGCAAAAGTTGGCTCTCCCTGTTGGGGGTGGTGAAATAAATAGATCTCAGCCTGTACCTGCCTTCCCGCACCTACACCCTGCTGGCCAAAGGAGCTGGCCAAAGGAGGCAGTCCTGTAACCTTGAGGCTGCTGCTGGAGAAGAAATAAAAATAGGTAGAAAGAGGATAGGATTTTTTTTTTATTTTTTTTTATTTTAGTTAAGGGTCTACAGGGTGTTCAGGGTCTCCCTACTACATGAGACTCGTAGTGATCCGCCTGTTTATAGCCTCTCAAGAGCTGGGATTACAGGCGCACACCACCATGCCCAGTCTCATTTGTCGTCTCAGCGCACCCTGTGGTCCGGGCCAGAACGGCAGGCCCAGGGATCAAACCCCCGGGCCCTGTGCCTGCTTGCAGATGCTTTAATCCGCTGAGCTTTTGGCTGGCCCTCTAGGATAGGAAATCTTAACTAACAACTTTTACAATGACCACAGCTGAGGGCTGGGGAGATAGCTCAGTGGTCTAAGGGACTGCCTGGCAAGCACTAGGGCTGGGGTTCAAACTCTGGTCCCACATGTTGTGCCAGCCCCAGTTTCCTGGTATACAATGTCACAGTGGTGCAGGCCTGTAATCCCAGCACTGAGAAGGGTCACTATGAGTCCCAGCTGCATACCAAATAAATAAAAATTTAAAAAAAAAATTTTTTAAAGACTGCAGCTCATGTGATCCTGGTAGGAAGAGGCTGAGGCAGGAGGATCGCTGAGAGTTGGAGGTCAGCCTGGGCTACATAGTGAGTTCAAAGCCAACCTGAACTGAATAGAGAGAACTTGTCTCAAAAGAAGAAAAAACAACAGGTTGGGGATGTAGCTCAGCAACACAACACCTGCCTGGCAAGTGAGAGACAGATAGACAGAGACAGTGAGACAAAGAGAGACAGAGAGAGAGAGGAAAACAAAGAACTGCAGCTTTGAGGAAACTGTTAAATCCCCCTGGCACCCTTCCCTTGGTGAAATTTAGGTCCCATCCTCCCATTATACCCCAAATTCCTCAAAAATTGTAAAACTCCATAAGCTGTCCTAATCGAGAAAATAAAGGGCAGGAAACTAATTCAAAGATAAAGGCACAGATTGAGAGGATTCAAAGAATACTTAAACTATTTAAAAAGGGAAAAAAGAGGGCTGGCCAAATAGCTCAGCAGATTAAAGTGCCTGCAAACAGGCACAGGGGCCAGAGGTTCAGTCCCCGGCCTGCCATGCTGACCCCGTCCCAGGGGCTCTTGGCAGGCTGTAAACAGGCGGATCACTACGAGTCTGATGTAGTAGTGAGACCCTGAACACCCTGTAGACTTTTACCTAAAATACAAATAAAATAAAAATAAAAAGGGGGGGAAGGGCCAGGCAGATAGCGCAGACCCTGAGAGAGCGATTGAGACTGGACGTGGGGGTGCGCCTGTAATCCCAGCGCTGAAAAGAGGTGGATCACTACGAGTCCAATCTGTGTAGTGAGACCCTGTAGACCCTGGACTAAATACATTAAAAAAAATAAAAATAAAACAAAATAAAAAGGGGGGGCTGGGCCCAACCCATAATAGGACCCTGCTCTCTTGTGCAGGCTGGAACACCTTTTACAATGGTCTCCAGCCCTCAGGGGAAGCATAAATGTTCCCATTTTCTGGAACTGAGTTGTCTCTCACCTGTCACCTGCAGGTCGGCACACTATTTCTTCGAGTGTGTACCTCTTAATTTCTGCCTAATAAAGTTTTGCTGAGCAATCAGAGGGAGTCTGCAAACCTGCGAACTTATCCTACAAAAAGAGTGAGAGTGATTCTGGTGGCTGTTCTCAGCTTCAGGAGCCTCTTCAGACCCTGCTTGGTGACTGTCGTGGTCATGTTATGGAATCCTGGAGTTCTGTAGCTTCTGTCGAGATCTTTCATGTCCTGAAGAAAGAATTAGAAAATAATAATAATAATAATAATAATAATAATAAAATTTTAAAAAGAAAGAAAGAATTAGGCCAAACAGGTACAAAAGATAGCGTTTTACTTTTATGAAAAGAAGTAAAAGTACACTCTGCAGAGTCAGAGGCAGCCACTAAAAGAGATCACTGTGGCCCACCGTGGATGACTGAGGTCTGTTAGAGCCCTCGTTTCCCAGGCTGACGTCACAGCTAGACCAACCTATCAAAAACAGGCAAGATTTTGCCACAGAAGAATTGAAGATAGCTCCTCCTGATTGGTCCTGGGTTGAAGACTTGGAAACTGGTGTGGCCTGTGAGCTCCTGATTGACAGGTCATGCTCATTCACTCGGTGGTGGCCTGCCCCAATCTCTTGCCTCAGTCCACTCACAAGTACTTCTTTCGAGCTTTCTGGGTAGCTCTCACTCCCAAGTGTCCAGCACTCCCCTGGCCACCCACTTGTTCCAGTTATTTGTGCTACCACTGGCCTTCTCTCACTGGGGAAGAACGAGCCCACTTTCCTACCAGGAACATTGAGACATTTCCCTGTTAGGCAAGTGCCCTGAGTTCCCACTGCAGTCTGCATACAGTTCATCTACCTCAGGAGAAATCCTTTAGCCCAGGAATTCATCTGTCCACTCCTGTAGGATCTCTTATTTTGTTTTGCTTTTATTTGCGGTACCAGAGTCAGACTCAGAACCTTACACTTTTTTTTTGGGGGGGGAGGGTACTGGGGATTGAACTCAGGACCCTGCGCTTGCCAGGCAAGTACTTATTCTACCGAGCTCTCTCTCCCCAGCCCCTGAACCTTACACTTGTGAGGCAGGCACTTATGCCGCTGAGCTACCTCCCCAGTCCTCTTATTTTGTTTTTGTTTTTGTTCTTCATCTTATTGAGACAGTCTCATTATGTAACCCAAGCTAACCCAAATTCATGGAGATCCTCCTGACTCAGCCCCCCTGATTCTGGAATCACAGTCTAGCAACACCCCGTGAGGCAGGATCTCTTTGTGAACCACTATTATTGACTCTTCTTCCCCTCCCAGCTGGTGTCTGAGATGGTCAGCATTATTCTATTATTTTCGAGTCCTCCACCCTGATCCAGTCCCTCTTGGCAAGTCCTGCATTATTAGCTATGTCTCCTTGCTTCTCCTCTGCTTGTAGTCTCCGTGGGATCAGATTTTGCCCTCACTCTCCACTGAAACTGTACTTGCTATGGACACTGTCTCTTTCTTTCTTTTTCATTTTTTTCTTTTAACTTGCCATACATAGGTTGAACCCATGGCCCTGGCACTGAGCTACAGCCCCAGTCCTTTTTATATAGAGACAAGTTCTCATTAAGTTGCTAAATTGACTGAGCAAGGCTTGCATTTGCAATCCTCTTGCCTAAGCATCCCAGAGTGCTGAGATTACAGGCATTTGTTACCACCCTCAGTTTACATAATACCTCTTAATAATCCCCAGGTACATAAGCCTGGGTCCAGCAGGCCTAGCCCTTACATTTCTACTGTAAATTTGCTATCTCAGTACTTTTCCCTGAGGGACACAGGAAGTAATCTATGTATTTACTCTCTTGGCATACTGAATAGCAAGTGTGTATACTTGTGCAAAAGTGGCAAACCCACCTTACGCTCTAACTTGTTTTACACATGTTTACCTGAGCATCACAGAGTGTCCAGTAGCCACAATAGACCACCCCAGGACTTGTTTTTAAACAAGTTTTCTTTTGATTTTTCTGGTAGAAGTAGCCCAACTCAGTACAACGGCACATGAGAAACCAGATTTGGAAGTTTTGGAGGAGGTCAAAAGTCAATCATCAGGTTACTCATGTATGAATGATAAAGATGATTCATTATGGTAAAATGTATGTTTTCATAACAGAAGAATGGTGTGGGTGGATGACGATGACAATGATGGCTTTTCGCTTGCCCATGGGAGCTAAGTTCCTGTGACAGTGAAATGGAGCAAAAATCATCTGATACAGACACAGGGAATGCAGATGATTTGATTCAGCTGACAACAAAAAAGCACTATAACTACATATTTGACTAGTCGAAATGTAAAATGGCTACAATCAAATGGAATGATCCAACATTAGAACTAGGTCTGAAAACGTAGTGACAGGTGAAAGGCATTGAACAAAATGCCAGCACTGCCATTCAGTGTAGGAAAATTTAATAGACAAGATGCGGTGAAATATACAAAGGCTGATAAAAAGTATTCTGTGTGCACCAAAAGCCATATTCAAAACTACATTTACTATGATACCTCACCAGCTGAACAGAGAGTATTCGTAGGCCTGCTGTACTTCGCGAG